GGGGGCTGGTGCAACTCCACTAAGTGTACGTAGTATTCGCAATAAGCCATTAGCAACGACAGCCCGACAAAAAAATTTTCGCAGGGTATTTGTGGTACAACCCGGGCCCTTCACTGCAGGAGGCACTTTGCCCTCCCCCCTTTACCCCTATACCCTATTGCCCGCATTTAGGACCGCGTCACGACGAAAAAGAGTACAAATCAAAAGAACATGGAATTGACCCCCCCCCCCTTCCCGTAGGGGTTAGGGGGGCATTGTGGGGAAGCAGGGGCTTGAACACCGTGTTCAAAGGGTTGGTGGCGACGGAGATTTGAGACCCAGGCGGGGAAATCAAAGCAAGGGGCGTGGCGCGGCGTAGCGGGGCACGGCGGCGGGGCGTGGAGGGGCGAGGGCGGCGCCGAGACAAGGGCCATAAAGATGAGGGATGCTGTTTTGAGTGCAGAGCAAACCCCATTCCGAACTCGGACTATACTGGCGTGGGGGAGCGGCGGGGGAGGCGCGGGTCAGCCGGCAGGAGGCGGGAGTGGAGCGGCGGGGGCGGCGCAGAGGGGCGGCTGTTGTTGTTTCCGCGACCAGCTCGCCCCCGCCGCCGTCGCCCCTCCCTCGCCTGCCGATACTCTGTCCTCCATCTCGTACACACAGCAGCAGCGTGTAGTACAACAGGCAGCCGAGAGGCCAGGAGATGCAGGCAGAAAAGCAAGGCGTCATTCAGTGCAAGCAATGTTTACAGCGTGCACACTCTTCTCGAAGCAATCACGATCTTACAGCACTCAGTCACATGCAAACAAACAGAAAAAAACAGTGTCTGAGTTTGTACACATCCAAAACACAATCACATGGTTGCACATTTATTCGCGGGCGCACTTTCGTAGATAACACGTATTTCATTGTGCGAGGGAAGTACTCTATTGACCCATAAGATAGTTCGCGAAGTTACCGTACATCCCGTGCGGAGTGAACCGTAATCCAAAATTACGGTGGCGCACCTGATGACAAATTGACGGGGCGCACCGTACACCTCTCCCGTATGTTTTTCTAACAGTGTCCTCCGCGGTGTACTCGCGGGGCGGTCATGGTGGTGTAGTGGCGCACACCCTACCCTCCACCGCGATGTACTCGCGGGGTGGTCAGGGTGGTGTAGTGGCGCACACCCTACCCTCCACCGCGGTGTACTCGCGGGGCGGTCAGGGTGGTGTAGTGGCGCACACCCTCCTCCGCGGTGTACTCGCGGGGCGGTCATGGCGATATAGTGGCGCACACCCTACCCTCCTCCGCGGTGTACTCGCGGGGCGGTCATGGTGGTGTAGTGGCGCACACACACGTCCGTGGAGTACTTACCCCAAACCCACTCCGCGGATACCCGCGCGGCGGTCACCGCGAGGGAGGTTGCATCGACCAGCCACCTTCGCAAGTACTCACGAGTACTCGCAGAGTCCGGGCCGAAGGTAAAATATCTAATTGGCCCGCTACCGCCCTCGTGCTCCAGCAGGGAACTTCCCGAGGTAGCGCCTGCAACGCGTTGGTTAGGCCAACCCACCAAGCACATGTGTGGAGCAGGCGGCCTACCTTGAGCGCGGGTGCACGGGCGGGCAACAGGGGAGCGTTGACGCTCCTCCTACGTCAACTTGGGAGGAGTGATTTCAGTCATCGGCCCGCCGGCGGTAAGTAGTGTCGGCAGCAGCGCCCTGCCCATGCAACGAATCGCGTTCAAATTTAGAGGTCAATACTTTGGAGGTAAACAGGAATGTTGGAGTCTGTCGCTTTAAAAGTACCTCCAAATCTGGAGGGCAATGCATTAGAGGCATTCGCGCAGATCTAAAATTGGAGGGCAATTCCATTTTGTGTTTGGAGGGGATTTTCTGGTCTACTGACCACCTCCGCATCACCTCCAAATTTTGGAGGTACAATACTTGGTGGTGTTTTTATTTCATTGAATTTGGAGGTAAATGAAATCATTGTTCCGTTTTACCTCCAATCGGTTTTAGAGGTATTTGGATTGGATGAAGTGGGCTGCGTCCGGCTTGGTATCGTGTAAGAGCGGGTCCACAACCACCTCTCTGACTTTGCCCGCAGGTGGTGGTGCCACAAGCCGTGGGACTGACGACGCTCCGCGGCGCCGTCCTTTATGGCCTGACCCCAGCCTCGTAGCTTCGCGCCGCTCCAAGCACACCCTCGGCGTTGGTGTACTCAAGCGCTTCCAACCCGGCCAGCACCCGCAAGGTGAGCAAGCACGCCGGAGTGGTGCAGGCATGCAGCCCACAGAATCTCGTGTCTACGAGCTAGAGGCCGGCACTACATGGTTTGTTCATGTCTCAGACAAGCTCGTGACGTTGTCGGACGGATCAGCGTGGTGCTGCGACGTGCTGGACGTACTGGTTGTTGCGGACCAGCCGCTGGGCCCCGGGGAGGCGGTGACGCGCAGCTACGCCCCGGCGAGTGCCCGCCAGACCAACATCATAATCCACATCTACTGCTGCACCGACTCCAGCCCGCCCAAGGTCAGCCCGAGCGCGCAGCGCCCCCTGCTGCCCGATAGCGTTTGAACGTCACCCATCACCTACCTGCATTCTCTTTCCCCAGTTTGTGACGGACGCTGGGGTGACGCGGTGTGGAACACTCCGGTTGTCACTGGACAACGACGAGCTCGCGCGGCGCGCCGGGGACGCGGCCAAGTCGAGGGACATCGTGGCCAGGATCGAGTTCGGCGGTACCGAGCTAGCCGCCAGCGCCCAGGACATCGCCTCGGGTCGCTGCGTCCGTACACAGCTCGACTTCCTCAGCACGGCCGTGTAGAACGCGCAATGACGATACCGGGTCCATCAGCACAACAATTGTCCATACCAGTGTACATATAGATGTATTTTATTCATGTAATGCGCATGTAATCAATAAAAGGTACAACCGCGAGGTCGCTGTAACCTGCCCTGTGTCACTGCCACACTTGCCGCCGGCGGCGGCGGGAGATAAAAGGCCCAAAGTCGAGCTTGCAGGCCGCGCATCACCACCAGACTAGGCCCTGCGGCGCTGAGTTCGGGGCCAGCCCTGGTGGGGTGAGGACGTGCCCTTTTGCCGCAGCCGCACGGAGCGGCCCGGCGGGGCCCGAGGGGTCGGTCCCCGCCGGGGCGCGCCGGGAGGCTGCGGTGAGGAGGAGCCCCCGCCGGGGCAGGCCAAG